GGCTCACATCTGTAATCCCAACACTTTGGGAGGCTGAGGCAGGCGGGTCACCTGAGGTCAGGAGTTCAAGACCAGCCTGGCCAACATGGTGAAACCCTGTCTCTACCAAAAATAAAAAATTAGCCAGGTGTGGTGGTGCACGCCTGTAATCCCAGCTACTCAAGAGGCTGAGGCAGGAGAATCGCTTGATCCCAGGAGGTGGAGGTTGTAAGGTTGCAGTGAGCGGAGATCACATCACTGCACTCCAGGCAGCCTGGGTGATGGAGCGAAAATCTGTCTCCAAAAAAATAAAAAATAAAAATATTTGATACAGAAATAAAAAATGTGAATTCTGGGTAGTGGTTTCTTTTTTTTTTTTTTTTTTTTTCCAGAGCAGAACTTGAGGTGGTTTCTTTTGTTGAATTATTAACTGCTCTGTGAATGTTTCTGCATGTTTCAAATTAAACAAAAGTTGATTAATTTTCAAAATAAAAACAAAAAGTCTTTATATTCACTATTTGCTGCTGGGATTTTGCTTTTTATTTTTTACTTTCCAAGACAGAGTCTTGCTCTGTCACCCAGGCTCGAGTGCAGTGGCACCATCGCAGCTCACTGAAACATCCACTTCCAGGTTCAAGCGATTCTCCTGCCTCAGCCTCCCAAGTAGCTGAGATTACAGGCTTGCACCACCACACCTGGCTTATTTTTGTATTTTTAGCAGGAACAGGGTTTCACATGCTGGTCTCAAACTCCTGACCTTCAGTGATCTGCCCGTCTCAGCCTCCCAAAGCATGGGATTACAGGCGTGAAACACTGCACCTGGCCTGGATTTTGCTTTAACACTATTCAGTTCCAGATGTTTGGAAAGACACATGGAATTTGAACTACTTCTGTAATATTAAATAGTCTCATAAATATTGTGAAACTCAGCATTCTAAACATGGTTTCTGGGCGAAATGTTGTTTAGTTTTCACCATGCTTTAAAGCAGGAGTCCCCGAACTTTTTACACAGGGGGCGGGTTCACTGTCCCTCAGACCGTTGGAGGGCCGCCACATACTGTGCTCCTCTCACTGACCACCAATGAAAGAGGTGCCCCTTCCTGAAGTGCAGCAGGGGGGCCGGATAAATGGCCTCAGGGGGCCGCATGCGGCCCGCAGGCCGTAGTTTGGGGACACCTGCTTTAAAGATTAGTTGTGGCTAGGTATGGTGGCTCATGCATATAATACCAGCACTTTGGGAGGCTAAGGTGGGCAGATCACTTGAGGCCAGGAGTTTGAGACCAGCCTGGCCAATATGGAAAAAACCCATCTCTGCTAAAAATACAAAAATTAGCCGGGTGTGGTGCCACAAGCCTGTAATCCCAGTTACTCGGGAGGCTGAGACTGAAGAATTGCTTGAACCTGGGAGGTGGAGGCTGCAGTGAGCCAAGATCATGCCATTGCACTGCAACCTGGGTGACAGAGACGTGGCAGACGACCAGAAGGTGTTGGACGAGGCAGCCATGCCATCTCTTCTTGCGAGCATTTATCTTCACTGTTTGAAGCCTTGTGACCCATCAGGACCCGGAGGCTGTCTGATCACATTACTAGGATGCCTATCTTTGGGTTGGGAGATGCTGGTTGGCCTGAAGGGAAGATCAGAAGAACGCCTGTCGAAGATGGGTTTCTCCTGCTCCTCCTCTCCCGACACTGCCCAGGATCCTGGTCTTGGCCTCCTGCCCTGCCAGGGACTTGACCGAAAGGGTGGGCCTGCTGGCAGAGTTGGGGCTACTGACCACAATGTTGCTGGTGGGCCTCTTGAGGATGAGGACCTGTGGAGGGGGTCCCACAGGAAAACTACAGTCCTGTATCATAATGGGCACTTTGGGAAGAGATCTGGCTTTTCTGCTGTCTTTCTGTGTGATCTTCAGGTTTTTTTCAGAGGTCTATTTCCCTGCTGTCTGCTGCCTCCTCCCAGCTCTCAGCGACCTCCTCATATTCCATCTCACTTGCTGCTTTCCAGATGACTTGCTTTCTTATTCTGTATTTTCTTTGACTTTTGCAGTATTCAATATTATTACTTGATTCTGGTTTTTTAGACATCACTATATGGCCCTTGGCTTTCTGGTCATTCCTCTAATTCTTTTGCTGTTTCAAGCTCTGTTCCAAGTCTGAGCTTTTTACCACTGAATTCTGTTCTGTGACACATCACCTAAAACGAACTCAACTTTTCTTTCCCCCCAGACTTTTTTGATCAGCAGTATTTTCAACTTCTTGTGGGAAGCAGAAAACTTCCTTTTTAAAGTTCCTTTCTTGGTAAAGAATAACTGTGCTAATAACTTTAAGCCCTATCCTATGTAGCTGTTAGACATGCCATGCTTACAGGCACGTAATACATTCTATGTCCTTGTACTTTAACCAAGATATCTGTGCTGGATGTGCTCACAGGCATGTCCCAGCTCTCCACTGCTTTTACCTGTTTAAAAAAGTTTTAAGTAGTTAGTTAGCCAATTGGGCTTTAGTTTAGAGGTCTGGCTCCAGCCAGCGGGGGTCAGACACAGCAGTAAGGATGACCCCCAAATGCCTAAGGGATACATTTGTGTTTTCCTTTGATCATTGTACTCTTGAGGCACAATAGCTAGCAAGGGTACCCTTTCTGCAGTCCAGGAAGTAAAACTTTCGTTGCTTTAAGATATTTTGCTAATTTTTCTATGCGGGACCAAGTATCTATTTCCAACAATACTGAATCATCATGCTGTGGCAGTGCTGGTACACATAGTTTTGAATACCAGGTTCTTAAGTGAATCCTTTTTGCTTCTCTCTCTCCCCCATCCCCGCTTCTTCTCCCCTCTGCCTTCATTTCTGCCCCTTCTCTTCCGGTTACATTAAAAAAGGTCTAATCTTATCAGTTCTGCCTTTTGCTTCTGCTCTAATAATTTAGTCAAGATAATTTTTTCAAAGCACAAGGCCAATGAGAAGGGGTAAATTTGGTCCAGAAGGCAGCTGGCCTGACTATTCTGAGATTGAATAGTCTTGGTGGTCCTGTTAAAATACAGTTTGAAGCAAATCACCTGTTTTTATGCTCCTAATGTCTACTCTGTTCAAAGCCCAAATTTCCTTGCTTGGCATTTAAGGAGACTACAAGTTCTTAAAACTTATTCTTGACTTTAATGCAAGTCAAATTTATTTATTGTATCTCAAACAGTCATCTTATATTTTCTTTTCTGCATTTTGTGATCGTTTTCTTGTGCCTGGAATACTCTGCTTTTATTTAAGTCTCACCATCTTTCAAGACACAAAATATGTGTGCTCTTCTCTGAGGCCTTTGTGAACTGTCCCCAGCATTCACTAAGCAATTCGTTGTCTCTGAAATTTTATAGCACAAACCCATTCATTCACTTGATATTTAACAAATACCAACTTCTAGCACTTATCTTTTCATGCTTACATTTTCTCACTGCTTGAGATTTTCTTTTTTTTTTTTTTTTTGAGACGGAGTTTCGCTCTTGTTACCCAGGCTGGAGTGCAATGGCACCATCTCGGCTCACCGCAACCTCCGCCTCCTGGGTTCAGGCAATTCTCCTGCCTCAGCCTCCTGAGTAGCTGAGATTACAGGCACATGCCACCATGCCCAGCTAAATTTTTTTGTATTTTTAGTAGAGACGGGGGTTTCACCATGTCGACCAGGATGGTCTCGAACTCTCGACCTCGTGATCCACCCGCCTCGGCCTCCCAAAGTGCTGGGATTACAGGCTTGAGCCACCGTGCCCGGCGAGATTTTCCTTCATCCAGTGTCAAGCACTGAGTCTCACAATCAGAAACCCCACTGCATTTGATCTGGTAAAGACAATATCTTTTTAAAAGACACATATTAAATCCTTTAAGTTAATCATATTGGCAATGAACTTAAATCAACTGAGTGACCACTATGTTTAAGGAAGATTCCTTTTTAGTAGGCTGGGGAACGGGAGAAGGGAAGGATGTAACTTTATTTAAAAAAAAAAAAAAAAAAAGGTCCTTCTTCACAAGAAGGCTTTGCAATGGCTGTGTTTTTGGGTTTAGCTGACTCAATTCTTTATGTCCTCAATTTATGAACAAAATCAAACATTTTTGCCACACCTCTGTGAGCGAGTAGGTGAGTCAGAATGAGTGTATAATATATAAATATATATTTTAATGATAATAAAGGTGTAGATTAACTAACCCAAACTTTTTTTTTTTTTTGAGAATCTCACTCTGCCGCCCAGGCTGGAGTGCAGAGGCACAATCTCGGCACAATCTCGGCCCACTGCAGCCTCCACCTCCCGGGTTCACGCGATTCTCCTGCTTCAGCCTCTTGAATAGCTGGGACTACAGGCTTGCGCCACCACGCTCGGCTAATTTTTTTGTATTTTTAGTAGAGACGGGGTTTCACTATGTTGGCCAGGCTGGTCTCGAACTCCTTACCTCAGGTGATTCCCCCGCCTTGGCTTACAGGCATGAGTCACCAAGCCCGACCAAACCCAAACATTCTAAAAGCGCAGAGTAGCCGTTCTCCACCCCACCAAGGGTAACCAGCATCTTTGTTCTCCAACCAGAACAGCTGTATGCACCGGTGTATAAGCCTGCCTAAAGTGTTATTTTAAATCCTTTTTAAAAAAACAGTCCTTAAAATAACCTGTGTACAACTCCAGCGTTTGGCGGAGTGGGCTTAATATATTAAACAGTTGTTTTGTTTTCTTTTTGGTAACAGCGACACAGAGATCCGCATTTGTCGCAGTTTCCACAGAGGGCGGGATGTGTAAACACAAGAAATACAAAAATAGCGCAACGGCTAAAGGAGTGTCCCAGCACGGCGCGCCAAACCAGGCGGGAACCGTGTAGGGCTGACTCCCACCAGCCAGGGTTGCGGCCAAGACCCCCGCCCCGCCTCAAAGCCCGCCGCGCTGACGTCAGGGGCGATATTCCCGGCTCCACCCTCCCGGAGGCGGTGCGGCCGAGCCCAGAACCCAATTGGAGGAGGCGGGGCCAGGCGCGTGCACGCGCACAAATGCCCGGATGCCCCGCGTCGCCCGGCGCGCTTCCCTCGGGCGGTAGGGGGCGCGCACCGAGTCACCGCGGTGAGCTTGGCTGCTTGTGGGGCCTGTGCGGCCCTGCGTGTTGGGAAGATGGAGCAAGAAGCCGAGCCCGAGGGGCGGCCCCGACCCGTCTGACCGAGATCCTGCTGCTTTCGCCGCCAGAACACCCGTCCCTCCTAGGACTAGTGCGTTGGAGCGCCCAGTGCCTGAGCCCCGAGAGTGGAATGGTCCCCGAGGCCCAGGGCGTCGTGCTTCCGCGCGCCCCGTGAAGGGAACTGGGGACCCTCGAGGGACCCCCCCGACTCTAACCGCGAAAACCCCGAATGGTGTGAAGCAGGTAGCGGCCCGGCAGCGAGCAGTCACTTCTGGGTCTGGGCTTGACGGTTTTCTCTCCATTGCTGGTTCCCAGCCTCTGCCCTATCGCAGCCTTTGTGCCATTCGTGGCGGGGGGCTCGGGGCTCGGGGCACGTGGCTTTGCGGAGGTTTTGTTGGACGGAGGCTAGGCTGTCGCCGCCGGGGAGGAGGGCGGGGTTTCGGCCTGCTCTCGCTGCGGGGGGGCGGGTTCGGGGGGTCTCCACGAGAGTCCGGGGTAAAGGTCACGTGGGCGGGGGACTGCGGGGCCACCTCAGGGCGGGGGTCCGGGTGATCGCAGGTGCCTGTCCGGTCGCCGGTTTGAACGCGGCGCGGAGTCTGGGCGGGATTGGGCCGGTTCCGTAGGCAGGTTGACTCAGCTTTTCCTCTTGAGCTGGTCAAGTTCAGACACGTTCCGAAACTGCTGTAAAAGGAGCTAAGCCCTGACTTGTCTCCAGCTGGGGCTATTTAAACCATGGATTGTCCCAGCTGTGTTCAGTGGCTATTGGAGGGTGGACTTGTGGGCACGGACGCACACCGCTTTTTCTCTACCGATCCAGGTAAGCACCGACTTCCTTGTAGCTTTAGTTTTAACAAAGGCGTTTATGTCCTTTAGTTAAGATGTATTTTTCACAGATGTTTTGTGATTTCCAGTTTTCATCTTGTCTTTTTTTTTTCCTCCTTGTAGGCAAATGTGCAATACCAACATGTCTGTACCTACTGATGGTGCTGTAACCACCTCACAGATTCCAGCTTCGGAACAAGAAACCCTGGTTGGTATTTTTGTCTGGTGTAACTTTAAGAATAAAATTTATGAGGTGATCAACTAAATTTCATATACCTCAATTGTAGCATGGCTCTGTTAATGAAATTGTATGTGCATAGCCTAAAGTGTGCTATCTCGGACATAACTGCATGGAGTTAAAAACTGTTAACAATTGGTCAGTGTTTTATTAGCCCTTTGCCACATTGGCTTTACAAATTAGTTCCATTACATTCTTAAGTGTGGTTGCTGAAGTTATATTTGTTATGTGATCCATTTTTTTCCTTTTTGACTTCCCAGTAATTTTTAAAAATGGTTTCTAAAAGTCACAAAAATTATTCATGCTTGTTGTAAAGATTTTAGTAATTAGAGAAATTTTAAAGTAAAACCTGAAAATTCCAGCCTTTTTGCTTCATGTTCCCTTTTAGATTTTTTTCTGTATGCATACCCACATATATTTACATTTGAATTTAAATCTGTTATTGTCATGTTTGTTGTACTAACAAGATAAAACTATAGGTGTTCTATGACTTACATCCTTGTCAATACAGTTTATGTAATTCTTTTAAATGGCTGCATAGTATTCCATAGCATGAGTATACTATTTTAAAAATTATACCTTTACTGATAGGTTTTTAAAAATTGCCTCCTGTTTTTTGGGTATTACAAATAGTGTTGCTTTGTACATGAGTTCCATGTGACTGTTTCGATAAGAAAGATTTTATGGAATTATAGTCTGGGTGAGATGACTCATGCTGTAGTAATCTCAGCACTTTGGGAGGCCATGGTGGGCTCACCTGAGGTCAGGAGTTGAAGACTAGTCTGGCCAACATGGTGAAACCCCATCTCTACTAAAAATACAAAAAAATAGTCGGGCATGGTGGCACTCGCCTGTAATCCCAGCTGCTGGGGAGGCTGAGGCAAAGTCGCTTTAACCCGGGAGGTAGATAAACCATCTGTATGAAAGGCTGAAAATATTTACAGTCTGGCTCTTTACAGGAAAAAATTGACCCTGATCTAGTTGGCAGGCTCCTTGAATACAGGTCATATGGCTTATTTGTATTATTATTATTTTTTTTTTGGCAGTACCTATCACTGTCCTGCATAGTAGAAGCTCAATAAATGTTTGTCAAGCAGATATTTGAAATGCAGACCAACAGAGGCAGCATGATATAGTAGGAAGAAAATGCTGAGTTGTAGTAGTCTCACTGTCACCCAGGCTGGAATATAGTGGTGTAATCTCGGCTCACTGCAACCTCCACCTCCTGAGTTTAACTGATTCTCCTGCCTCAGCCTCCCGGGTAGCTGGGACTACAGGCGCATGCTACCACCATGCCCATCTAATTTTTTTTTTGTATTTTTAGTGGAGACGGGGTTTCACCTAGTTAGCCAGGATGGTCTCGATCTCCTGACCTCATGTTCTGCCACCTTATCCTCCCAAAGTGCTAGGATTACAGGGGTGAGGCACCAGCCTGATCTCGTCTTAATTACCCTTGTCAGCTTGGGTTGGTTAAGTTCTCTAGCCTTCAGGAACCTAATGTTTAGAAAGAGATGATTGGTAACAGGATCCACTCTAAATGTTTTTTCTTTTCTCTTGGATTCTCTAAGTTAGCTTGCAGTAAGCTCATTGGATCAGTAGAGTAAGCTCATTCGATCTCAATAATTATGGTTGTTCGTAAGGCAGTAAGCAGGTGATATAAATAGCTGAAGGAAAAAATAATCTTTGCTGTCTTGATACTTGATTCCATATTTGCATAATAATTAGATTCTCCCCAGCAGTTTTCCAAACCCTCTTTATTGAACTTGATGGATATGTTTGTTGCGGGTTCTGTAGTTCCGGAATAATTTTGGAAGTATAATGGCTCTTTTCTCTTTATAGGTTAGACCAAAGCCATTGCTTTTGAAGTTATTAAAGTCTGTTGGTGCACAAAAAGACACTTATACTATGAAAGAGGTAAGCTGAATCAAGAGATAACTAGTATCTTTAATAGTTACATATAGCCATACTTAAAGTTTTCAAGACATGGGGAGAAATTTGCCATATAGAAGGATTTTTCATTAAGCAGCAACATTTAATTTTGTGGTCATTTGGACTATATTTTAAAGCTAAAAATTCTAATTATACTCAACTTTCATTTCTCAGCTAGGAACTCAGAGATAAAAGGAAGCCCTGTAGGGGTGTTTGACCATTTTATACTGTGAACCCTTTGGTAGACTGGTAAAAGTCTTCTCACGCTGGTAACTCCTTCTCAGAATCATGTTTTTAAACGTATGAAATAAAACATACAGGATTACAAAGGAAGCATATTAAAATACAGCTACCAAAATAGTAAACTACTTTGTGATATATGTGCTTTCGTTATTAACACTAAGATTTAGAAGCAGATATATATAATAATTATTATTTTTTTCAGTCAGTCTCACTCTGTCACCCAAGCTGGAGCACGATTTTGGCTTACTGCAACCTCTACCTCCTAGATTCAAGCAATTCTGCCTCACCCACCCAAGTAGCTGGGATTATAGGTGCCTGTCACTATACCTGGCTAATTTTTTGTATTTTTAATAGAGGCAGGGTTTCACCATGTTGGCCAGGCTGGTCTTGAACTCCTGACCTCAGCTGATCCACCCGCCTTGGCCTCCCAAAATGCTAGGATTACAGACATAAGCCACCGCACCTGGCCAGCGAATATAATTTTGATATAGTCAGGAATGTAAGTGACATTTTGAAATGTTTGTAATAAGCACAGTATGATATGAAAACATCTGTGATTTTTGTTAGTGATGAAATCACAGGTATTAATACAATTGTGATTTGTTGCTTACACTTGTAATCTAAAGGAAAGCTAAATTTTAGTTAGAAGTTTGTGAAAATAAAGATACAATTTTTTTTTTCCATCCAAATTAATGGACCCCCTGAATTCTATCCATGGACTTCTTGGGCATGCATGGATACCAGATTAAGAACTTCTGCACTAGAGATACATGAGTACAGTATACTGATCTTTCTGGGATAGAGATGAGCTGATTCATGACCATAGTTCTTTTTAATGGATACAGCATTTTAGTGCATTTTCTAGTTTTAAATTTGTGCACAGTGCATGATTTTCAGTGAGAGATTGAGCCATCTTAGGCAGAATTTCAGTGTGATTGAAATATGCCTGTTTTCCATCTCTCCCACTTAGTTTATGGGACTCAGATTACTTGAAACATTAAAGTTTCTTACAATAGTATAGTGGGACAGGAAGAGCTTCCATATCCTTTTCCTTTCCAGTTACAGTTTTGTAAACTTCCTTAAGGGTTGTTTGGTAGAAAAAATCTAGGTTCTCTTTCCTTTCCCAGTGCTGGACAACAATCTGTCCATTCCACGGTCACATAGAAATATTCCTTAAAGGTTGATGCCTGCTTGGCCAGTTAAATTCAAAGACAGTGCTTATAGGGAAGTGCCAGGTGAAATGGTATTTTTAGGGCTAATTTGGGATTGATCTTATTATCACTGTATAATCAGTTAAGGAAACAAAAATGTATGGATTTAGCAGTAGATGGAAATGAGAAAATTGGTCAAGGCCGTCATAAAGACTTAGAACGCTATGCTAAACTATACCAGTATTGTTTATATTATCTGATATAGTTCTCAGTTATAGGATCTTTGTTCTGGGGCACATGGGAAAATAGTGAAAGCCAGTATGGGTAGTAAAAAGAGAATCGGACTAAGCGTCAGAAGACCTGGGGCCAGTTTCTTTATATCTTTTCTTTTCTTTTCTTTTTTTTTTGAGACGGAGTTTCGCTCTTGTTGCCCAGGCTGGAGTGCAGTGGTGCGATCTCGGCTCACCGCAACCTCCGCCTCCTGGGTTCAGGCAATTCTGCCTCAGCCTCCCGAGTAGCTGGGATTACAGGCACGCGCCACCATGCCCAGCTAATTTTTTGTATTTTTAGTAGAGACGGGGTTTCACCATGTTGACCAGGATGGTCTCGATCTCTCGACCTTGTGATCCACCCACCTCGGCCTCCCAAAGTGCTGGGATTACAGGCTTGAGCCACCGCGCCCGGCCATCTTTTCTTTTCTTTTCTTTTTCTTTTTTTTTTTTTTTTGTGGCAGTGTCTCACTCTATTGCCCAGGCTAGAGTACAGTGTCACGATCACTGCTCACTGCAACCTGGACCTCCTGGTGATCCTCTCACCTCAGTGTCTAAAGTAGCTAGGAATATAGTCTTGTACCACCATGCCTGGCTAATTTGCGTGTGTGTGTGTGTGTGTGTGTGTGTGTATATATATATATATATATATATATATATATGTATATATATAAATAAATTTTTTTTTTTTGGTAGAGATGGAGTTTCACTATGTTGCCCAGACTGGTCTCTAACTCTTGGGCTCAAGGGATCTGCCTACCTTGGTCTCCTAAAGTGTTAGATTTACGGGCGTGAGCCACTGTGCCCAGCCCAGTTTTTCATTTCTAATACAACGATAACAATTCTATAAAATATCAGAATGAGAAAATACTTGAAAAAGTACATTGTAATCTGTAAAATAACATGTATTTAGGTAGTTGTTAATAGGTTTATATCTGGGATCTCTTAAAGATGTATTAGGTATAGATGTAATAGGATATCTTGAAGCTGTATTGCCAACTTGTCTTAATGCAGCACAAGGAATATAATTTAAATTTATTGGTTCAAAATCATTATTTTGATTATTATAATATAGAGTAAATCGGTATCTTTAAGGTTTTATTTCTCACAGAATTCTTTGTAGCTGTCATTGATTGTTTTTCTGTCTTCTTCCTCTGGTGACCTCAGAGGCTACTGAGGTTTTTTTTTTTTTGAGACAGAGTTTCGCTCTCGTCCAGGCTGAAGTGCAATGGCGTTCTCTCAGCTTACTGCAACCTTTGCCTCCTGGTTCAAGCCTGCCTCAGCCTCCAAGTAGCTGGGATTACAGGCGCCTGCCACCACATTTGGCTAAGTTTTGTATTTTTAATAGAGATGGGGTTTTGCCATGTTGACCAGGCTGGTGTCAAACTCCCAACCTTGTGATCCACCTGCCTCGACCTTCCAAAGTGCTGGGATTATAGATATGAGCCACTGCACCCCGCTGCTGTTGAAGTTTATGGTGTTTGTGACTATTTACTAAGTGGCTGTGGTATATTTTAGTTGATTTTTGTTTCTGCAACTTTTTATAGCTATCAGTTTTTCATTTTGCTGCCTCTTCCCTTCCTGATATGTTAGTATCTAGCTATCTGGGAAGAGTTAACGTCTACAAGGGAAAAAATCTCACATTTTAAGATTTAGTTAAGTAAAGAGAGAAGCAGTTATCTCTGCTTCCATCAAATTAAAAGGAAAAGGCTTAAAAGTAGCTTTTTTTTTTTTTTTTTTTTTTTGAGACAGAGCCTCTTTCTGTCGCCCAGGTTGGAGTACAGTGGTGCAATCTCAGCTCTCTGCAGCCTCTGCCAGGTTCAAGCAATTCTCCTGCCTCAGCCTCCCAAGTAACTGGGACTACAGGCATGCGCTGCCACACCAGGCTAATTTTTTTGTATTTTCAGTAGAGATGGGGTTTCACCATGTTAGCCAGGATGGTCTTGATCTCCTGACCTCATGATCCACCCGCTTCGGCCTCCCAAAATGCTGAGATTACAGGCATGAGCCACTGCGCCCAGCCAAAAGTAGCTTCTTTTAAGTACAGAATGGTGGTGGTTCTACATAGTTGTGGATATGGTTGCTGGAAGTCTTAAATTTGAGCCTTAGATACTTTGGACATCATTTTCATTGTCACCTTTCATTATGGCACTTAACCAGCAGAATTTAACTTATTCAGATGAATAGGATATTGTTGACTATATTTTAAACTAACATTTAGTTTTCTTTAATGCTCAGAAATCATATTTCTATTTCAGGTTCTATTTTATCTTGGCCAGTATATTATGAATAAACGATTATATGATGAGAAGCAACAACATATTGTATATTGTTCAAATGATCTTCTAGGAGATTTGTTTGGTGTGCCAAGCTTCTCTGTGAAAGAACACAGGTAATTCTTCAATTTAGTCCATTGTAAAAAGACAGTTGGGCTAACATTTCAATTCACCTCTACCCTCACTCCCTTTTGTCAGAGAAAAACTGTTAAAACATATAAAAAACATGCTGAAATGTAATTTCTTAGCTCTGTGGCATATTATTTGAGAACCTGAGCTCTGGCATCTTATAAACCTGCGTTTGAAATCTAACCCAGTCATTTACTAGTTTTGTGACTAGATAGATTAATCTCTCTAAACCTGTTTCCCTATTTATAAAATAGGGATAATTAAATACCTCATGTGGAGGTTATAGCTCTTTTTTTTTTTTTTTTTGGGAGACAGAGTCCTGCTCTTGTCATCAGACTGGAGTGCAATGGCACGATCTTGGTTCACTGCAACCTCTGCCTTCCGTGTTCAAGCAATTCTGCTGCCTCAGCCTCCCGAGTAGCTGAGATTCCAAGCGTGTGCCATCACGCATGGCTAATTTTTTTATTTTTAGTAGAGACAGGGTTTCACATGTTAGCCAGGATGGTCTTGATCTCCTGACCTCATGATCTGCCTGCCTCGGCCTCCCAAAGTGTTGGGATTACAGGTGTGAGCCACTGTGACTGGCCAGTTATAGCTCTTAAAGAGAGACATTGTATAAAAAAGCATAGTGTTTGTCACATACAAAGCATTCATATTTTAGCTGTAGCTATTATATATTATAAATTTTTATTCCAGTCACTTCCAGAAACAGTCCTTATACCACCAAGTGGTAAAGGGTTAAGTTTAGCTTTAGTTACTTTGGAAATCATTTTCATTTTCACCTATCATTATGGCACTTAACCAGCAGAATTTAACCCAGGTAATACTTCTAGACTTAGGCCAGGCACAGTGGCTCATGCCTGTGTCCCAGTACTTTGGGAGGCTGAGGTGGTTGGATCACCTAAGGTCGTGAATTTGAGACCAGCCTGACCAACATGGAAAAACCTCATCTCTACTAAAAATACAAAATTAGCCAGGCATGGTGGTGCATGCCTGTAATCCCAGCTACTCAGGAGGCTCAGACAGGAGAATGCTTAAACCAGGGAGGCGGAGGTTGTGGTGAGATGAGATCATGCCACGACACTCTGGCCTGGACAACAAGAGGGGAAACTCTGTCTCAAATGAAAATGTACATATATATATATATATATATATATATATATATATATATATATATCTAGATTTTTTTTTTTTTTGAGGGAGTCTGGCTCTGTCACCCAGGCCGTAGTGCAGTGGCGTGATCTCAGCTCACAGCAACCTCCACCTCCTGGGTTCCAGTGATTCTCCTGCCTCAGGCTCCCGAGTAGCTGGGATTACTGGTGCCCACCACCATGCCCGGCTAATTTTGTATTTTGGTAGAGACAGGGTTTCACCATGTTGGCTAGGTTGGTTTCAAACTCCTGACCTCAATCGATCCACCTGCCTCCGCCTCCCAAAGTGCTGTGATTATAGGCGTGAGCAATTATGCCCGGCCTCTAGAATTATTCTTTTGGGAACTGAATGTTTTTTCAGTCACTCTTATTTTACATTTGGAATTCTTTTTTTCCTTCTTTTCTTGAGACAAGAGTTTTGCTATTGTTGCCCAGGCTGGAGTGCAGTGGCATGATCTCGGCTCACTGCAACCTCCACCTCTGGGTTCAAGTGATTCTCTTGCCTCAACCTTCTGAGTAGCTGGGATTACAGGTGCCTGCCACCGCATATTTTTAGTAGAGATGGGGTTTCAACCATGTTGGCCAGGCTGATCTCAAACTCCTGACCTTAGGTGATGTGCCTGCCTTGGCCTCCCAAAGTGCTGGGATTAAACATGTGAGCCACTGTGTCCGGCCTGCATTTAGAATTATCACATTTGGTTTAGCACAGGCAATCCGTGTTGAGCCTTAGAATTCATTCCATGAATAAATGGAATGAATACTTTCACCTGAAACAATTAACTCGCTTCTGCTAGTATTTAATGCTCAATAGCATAGCCGAAAAGATGACAATTATATGGGATTTTATTTTATCTTTATTTAAAAAAAAAAAACTTCCTCAGTTGAGCAGGGGATTTTATAGCTTTAAAACAACTTCATTATTATAAACATAGTATATATTTATTATCAAACACTAGGAAATGACAGAAAGCTAAGAAAAGTAAAGAAAAAAAGGGATTAAAGTTTGTTACCAAAAGGTATTTTTACCAGTCATTTGTATGTTATATGCAGTTGTGTGTTTTAAACTACTTATGAATGTTTAATTTCACCTAGCTTCTTAATTTAATGATATAAGCATTTTTTCATTGATGCATCACTTCTGTTTAATATCCATATATGTTGTCATTTGTACTTGACCTTGGGATATATGATTTAATTTTATAAATTTTTTTTAAAAACTATATTGGTATATTGGTGTTTTTTTTAACCTCTTGAATATAGAATCTTTTTTTTTTTCTTTTTTTTGAGACAGGATCTTGCTCTGTTGCCCAGGCTGCAACCTCTGCCTTCTGGGTTCAAGAGATTCTCTTGCCTCAGTCTCCTGAGTAGCTGGGATTACAGGCGCATGCTACCATGCCCAGCTAATTTTTTTTTTTTTAATCTTGGATTTGTGATAAAACCAGCTAATGTTTTGTATTTTTAGTAGAGATGGGGTTTTACCATGTTGGCCAGGCTGGTGTTGAACTCCTGACCTCAGGTGATCTGCCCAACATGGCCTCCAAAAGTGCTGGGATTACAAATGTGAGCCACTGTGCCCGGTCTGAATATTGAATCTTCTGATAATGTTTGGAAGTATAATTTCCTTGGGCTTGAATTCTAAATGTTGAGAGACAAGAAATTGGAGAAATTACTGACTTGAAAAGGATATGAATGAGAAATATTTTGGGTTTAGATTGCTGTGCCCTTATTTCCAAGGGTGAAAAAAGATAGTTGGGATTCATATTCTTCTTAACATTGAGTGAGGAACAATTTTTGTGACATTCTCTCAAATTCTTAGTTTAAAAACAAAAGAAAAGAAAAATCCACTGTGACATCAATGAATACTAGGGTAAATGAATTATCTTCCTGTTAGGACATAAACTTTATCAGGGCAAATACGTTTTTGTTTCATTCTTTGTTTTCCCAGTGTCTGCTACATAGTACCAGTGACTAGTACGTGGTAGGTGTTCAGTCTGTATTTATTGAATGAATGAGTACTACTTTATCTGTTAACAAGTTTTAAGATAAAGAAAGGAAGTTGAAGCTTGATGAAAGTCAATCAAATTCCTATTTAATGGATTTTGCATAACTCAATACTTTTTTTTGGCAGTTTGCTACTAAGCATAGAGCTAAAAACATTCCTGTTTGAAAATAAGTACATTAGGCTGGGCACGGTGACTCGTGCCTGTAATCCCAGCACTTTGGGAGGCCGAGGCAGGCGGATCACTTGAGGCCAGGAGTTTGAGACCAGCCTGGACAACATGGTGAAACCCCATCTCTACTAAAAACAAAAAAAAAAATTAGGTGGGCTTGGTGTCCTGTAATTCCAGCTACTCGGGAGGATGAGGCAGGAAAGTCATTTGAACCTGAGAGGCGGAGGTTGCAGTGAGCGGAGATCGCACCATTGCATTCCAGCCTGGGAGATGAGGGAAACTCCGTCTCAAAAAAGAAAAAAATATACGTTAAACTGCTTTGTGCTTGCACACCCATTGTTAGGGGTCTTCTAGTAAAGTCCAAACAAGCATTTCAGGAATTGGCAGTGTGAAATCTTTCAGCTGGAGAGACCTTAGTGATTATTAAGTAGCTGTATGTAATCATTGTGCTACTAATTACTGTGCTTTTAAGTGCCTACAAGCTTGCCAGTGATAAAATTGGTTTTGAATGTGTGCAGTAGTAGTTCATACTAAATATGTATGTAAAAGTCTGGTTAAGTCCAGCTTAATACATTTTTCTTTTAAAATGTACGTCTCCTGATTTTTTTTTTTCTGTCTACAAGGAAAATATATACCATGATCTACAGAAACTTGGTAGTAGTCAATCAGCAGGGTAAGTTAATTTTGAGTATCATGAATAAATACCATAAAAACATTTTAAAGATATTTTTGTTTATGTGCATATATTTTATAATTGTGATTCTCTTTAAAAGTTGCTTTAATTAAACATTCTAAAAATATGATAAATTTATTAGACTTATGAACTAAAATAACATTATACTGAGGTTCTAATGTAAAGTTAAATATCCTGTTATATCAATTTAAGCCTTGGGATATCAGAGTTAGGATTTGTATTGAAATGTCTGTAATTTCAAAAGCTCCTGTTTAGGAGTGATCTACCTTGAAAATGTATTGAAAGGCTTTGAAAAATAATACAGTTACCTACGTAGGACCATGTGTAAGGATGGGTCTTCTTTGGTTATAGACAAAATTTTGTTTACCAGTTTGTGGAAGTGGAATTTTATGTCCCTGCTTCCAGTTCTTAACTGGTTATTTTTGGGTCGCATCTCTCCTTAATAAGCTGATAAGTGCATTGGGTTCTTGTTCCAGAAAGATGCATATATATATATATATATAAATGGATAGTTGATAAATATTTCACAACCTACTTTCCATGAGAAAAGCCCTGATTTATGATGTGCTTGCTGACTTCCCTAGTATAATACTCTCATTTTTAAGGCTAAAAATGTAGAGTTGGAAAGAGATGTGCACAGTTTGCCTTTTTTTTTTTTTTTTTTTTTCTTTTTGAGACGGGGTCTCGCTCTGTCACCCGGGCTGGAGTGCAATGGTACAGTCTCAGCTCGCAGCAACCTCCGCCTCCTGAGTTCAAGCGATTCTGCTGCCTCAGCTACTCCTGAGTACCTGGGATTACAGGGGTGCACCACCATGCCCAGCTAATTTTTGTATTCTTAATAGAGACAGGGTTTCACCATATTGACCTGGCTGGTCTTGAACTCTTGACCTCGTGATCTGCCTTGGCCTCCCAAAGTGCTGGGATTACAGGCATGATCCACCCTGCCTGGCTTCACAGCTGGTTGGAGCTGTCTGTAATACACTCCAGCTGGTTGGAGCTGTCTCTAATGCCCTGCACCCCTCCTAAAGCCCATTCTCAAACTACAGTTAAATGCTCTTAGGCCAGGTGTGATGGCTCATGTCTATACTTACAGCACTTTGGGAGACTAAAGCAGGAGGATCGCTTGAGCCCAGGAGTTAAGACCAGCCTTGGGCAACATAGTAAAATCCTGCCTCTGCAAAAACTAGAAAAATTAGCCTGGTGTGTTGGTGCATGCCTTTAGTCCTAGCTACTCGGGAGGCTGAGGCAGGAGGATTGTTTGACCCTGGGAGATCAGGTCTGCAGTGAGCTGTGATCATTGCACTCCAGTCTGAGTGACAGAGCGAGATGTCATCTCATCTCTTAAAAAAAGACAAAAACAGAAAAACACCTGTCAGAAACTTGTTTAGTTCCTAGAATGAATTGACTTCCTCTATTCCATATTCAGATTTTATTGTAAAATTGCTTTGTTTTACTGGTGTGTTTGTTTTTTTTTTTTGAGACAGGCTGTCACTATGTCACCCTGCTTGAAGTGCAGTGGTGTGATCTTGGCTCACTGTATCCTTCGCCTCCGGGGCTCAAATGATCCTCCCCCTCAGCCTCCCCAGTAGCTGGGACTACAGGTGTGCTCTACCACACCTGGCTATTTTTTGTATGTTTGGTAGAGATGGTGTTTTGCTGTGTTACCCAGGCTAGTTTCGACCTCCTGAGCTCAAGCCTCCCAAAGTGTGAGGATTACAGGTGTGAGCCACCATATCTGGCTGGTACACTTGCTTATACCTTTGTTACCTATGTCTTAATTCAGGTTTGCATTCTGCATCACACAGTATTGTGTTTTATTAATATGGTATTTAATAAATGTGTTGAATTGAATACTTATTCTTCCAAAGTTAGGATTTAAAGCTCAGAAAAGTATCTCCATTTTATCCCAGCACAAAAGTAGTTATTAGGCTGATGATTTGGCATTTTATTGTTTCAAAGCTCTTTATGAAGTTGTATGATAGCTAAATATACAATTATAGCGTTTGTATCAGTATTTTGAGTTTTCTGAAGTATGTATCCCTGATGTATTCATTCCTTCGTTTGTTTAAATTAACTGGCACATTACTAGAAAAATTGTATTATTGAGATGGGAACTTACAAATTACTTATTTGCATTCTGAGTTTGATGTAGATATCAGTAGAATTAACTTCAGAACTTCTATTCCATGTTCTCAACGTAGTCACATCTAGTGCTTTTTTTTTTTTTTTTTTCTGTCACCAAGACCAGAGTGCAGTAGTGCAATGTTGGCTCACTGCAACCTCTACTTCCCAGGTTTAAGCGATTCTCCTACCTTAGCCTCCCAAGTAGCTAGGAATACAGGCACCTGCCACCATGCCCAGCTAATTTGCATATTTTTTAGTAGAGATGGGGTTTTACCATGTTGACCAGGCTGGTCTCGAACTCCTGACCTCAGATGATCCTTCCACCTCAGCCTCCCAGAGTGCTGGGATTACAGGCATGAGCCACCATGCCTGGCCTTAGGTTTCCTTTTTATTATATCTTTTTCGCAGCATCTCCTTATACTAGTCCAAAATTCCTGGGTAATATCTATTATGTATAACTTGAGAAAATCAGTGTAATGCCTTACCTATAGTATAAAGAGAACATTTATACATGATAATGCGTAATTTCAAAATGTTAATGGCCCAGGCATGAGTTTGCTATTAAGATGAATGTATTTCCAAAGGGGTAGTAAAGGGTATTTGGTGTTTATTGTCTGTATATCCCAAATCTAAAACTTTCGCTTTTGAGCTCTCAGTCTGTATATCCAATGACAAATGAAATCCATGTGTCTCAGTAACTCAGTTTGTTATCTTCCCATCCAATCTTTTTATCTTTCTAAGGTTTCTCTTTTAGTGAATGGTACCAATTCGTTTATTCATCCAAGGTAGAATCTTGGAATATGTCTTAACTCTTCTTCCTTGCATTTTATATTGGATACCAGGTCTTGTTGGATTTTACCTATTTAATTTTTCCAGAATTTATCTTTTCCATGCCTTAGTTTAGGCTTTAATACTTTTTAGTTTGTATTATTGCAGTTGTCTAATACTGGTTTTCCTGTCTCTGCCCTCTTTTTCTTTTATTTTGCTAGAGTGATTTGTCACTGTTCTGCTTAAAATTACCATATAGGGGTTCATTATTGCCCTCTGGACATACTATTTTCTGTGAGCTAGAAATCAGTTTTATTTCTTGGACTAAAACCCTTTTTAATGGTGATCAGCTGCAGCAGTTGCCTTAGGGAAGATTCTGAAGTATCTGCTGGAAGAATGCAGTGATGAGGGAATGACGGCATGAGTCCTGCTCTGGCTAGATGCACAGGATCCTTTACAATCTGAACCTGCCTACGTTCCAGTAATAATGGACTGGTTGTGGTTTCCTGCAACAGGAACTGTTAGTTTGCTTTGGATACGTTTTCATATGGCGTTTTTCTGGTCTGGAATGGCCTTTCCTAGCCCTGTTTTCACATTATTCTACAAAATGTGCCTGATTCTTTGCTCCTCAGACCCTCCCTGTTCCTATGGAATAATGTCTGTCTCTCTGCTAATTTATTTTATAATCTTTTAATGTCTTTAATTATATTTTACTCTTCTACGTTAAAGTTGAATTATTTTATTTACATCTGCAACATTTAGTGTGAAGGTGACACCTGGGAAATACATGTTTAATGTTTATTGAAAGGTTAAATTGCATAAGGGTTTTTGTTAGACTTATAGCATTATCTACTGAATAGCCTTCCCCCCAGTGTTATCTACTGAATAGCCTTCTCTCCTCCCCACCAACCCCAGTTTCTGATTCTTTGTTTTTCTTTTTCTCAGAATCATCAGACTCAGGTACATCTGTGAGTGAGAGCAGATGTCAGTTTGAAGGTGGGAGTGATCAAAAGGTAATCTTTAAATAAATTTTTCTTTCAAGTATAATATTATTTGAAAATTAGAAAGGCTATTTACAACAAATGAGTTTTAGCTTACCGGTTATGTTGAGTTTGATGTATTTTATTTTTTTCTTGAATGCTTAGGACCCTGTGCAAGAGCTACAGGAAGAGAGACCTTCATCTTCACATTTGGTTTCTAGACCATCTACCTCATCTAGAAGGAGAGCAGTTAGTGAGACAGGTATACATGAATATTTATTTGACACATTCACACAGCTTTTGATGTTCTTTCTCTAATGAAATTAGTGTTTTTAGACTTAATTGTTCCCCTTTTTTGGTTGAGATGAATGAACTTCTGAGTTTTTTTCATTACTTAGCAATATTTTTCTGGTTGACCACGACAGGCTCAGTTTACTGTGTCCCGCTGGAGTTTATAGTTAGCCAATTCTCTATTAAGAAAATGAGAGGCAGGCATATAAACTCTATTTTCACCATTATTCTTGGTCACCTTAGCAGTTAAATTTTTACACTTGATCTTAGCCAAAAGGCCGAGAAGTGATAGCAGTTAAATTTTTTAATTGTTTTTAATAAATGATAATACATACCTATGAGTTTTAAACAAAAAGTAAATAGCATTTTCGAAATGAAGAGATAAAATAGTTGAGAACAGTTAGAGGAGAATACTGTGCCTAAGGAAGTCACAGTAAATAAAACTGTATGGGCCGGGCGTGGTAGCTCAAGCCTGTAATCCCAGCACTTTGGGAGGCCGAGGCGGATGGATCACGAGGTCAAGAGATCGAGACCATCCTGGTCAACATGGTGAAACCCCGTCTCTACTAAAAATACAAAAAATTAGCTGGGCATGGTGGTGCGTGCCTGTAATCCCAGCTACTCAGGAGGCTGAGGCAGGAGAATTGCCTGAACCCAGGAAGCGGAGGTTGTGGTGAGCCGAGATTGCGCCATTGCACTCCAGCCTGGGGAACAAGAGTGAAACTCCGTCTCAAAAAAAAAAAAAAAAAAAAAAAAAACTGTATGATTCAGGTGAAAGAAAATGATGTCAGATCAGTGATACAGAATAAATGAACCTAGACTAGAATCTTGTACATGTGGGCAGAAGACAGGAAGGGCAGAAGTGTTTAGGGCAGAGGTGGGTCTAGAACAAATGGGTAGTTATTTAGGGAAAAGGTAAAATGACATTTGTACCTTATGCCAAAATGAATTTCAAATGAGTTTAAAAGATAAATGAAAAATAGAATACAATGTATTTGAAAGACAGATAGTCACTTTAAATTTGACTATTAATATCTGAATTACCTAAGTCTCCTCCCCAAATCAATAAGGAAAACATTAAAAATTTAAATAGCTAAAAGGGCAGGCAGTTCACAACAATTTCTCAACAGTAAATACAAATGACTAGTAAATACGGGGAGAGGGTGAATTTTGGAGAATTTAGCTTTACAGGTAGGAAAAATGCAGAAAGGGTATCCTTTTTGGTCTATCAAATTGTAGCAAAGATAAATTTTTACTCATCCTGTGTATTAGCACTGATACACTATTGGTCTATAAATTGGTATAAGTTGGTATAAATTGATTAAATTTTTTGGATTATAAAAAGGCTTAAATGGCCTGATACAGTGGCTCACATCTAGTGAATATCTTGAGGTTAGCAGTTTGAGACCAGCCTGGCCAACGTGGTGAAACCCCATCTCTACTAAAAACACAAAAATTAGCCGGGTGTGGTGGCCAATGCCTGTAATCCCAGCTACTCAGGAGGCTGAGGCAGGAAAATCGCTTTAACCTGGGAGGTGGAGGTTGCAGTGAACCAAGATTGTGTCATTGTACTCCAGCCTTGGCGACAGAACAAGACTCCATCTCAAAAAACAGAAAAGCTTAGGGTTCTTAACACTATCATAGTAATTCCACTTCTAGGAATCTATCCTAAGGATATAGTATAAAATTCAAAGAGTTATATGTAGATATATTAATTACAGCATTATTTATAATTGCTGCCTGGCCAAGATCACCTTTTTTAAAATAGGGAATACAAACATGATTAAGAACTCATGTGCAGAACTTGTGATCTAGTTGGTGATAAAACATAAAAATCTTTACTGGGATGTAAGAGTATTTGGAGAATTCACAGGAAGAGGAGATGGCTTTAATTAGATAGGCCAAGAAAGGGAAATGGAATGAGCAAAGGTGTGAAGAGTTTTACCTGTTTCAGGCATATGGATAATATTTAATTTAATAGAATAACCCTATTAAATACTTACACATAAGGGTGCAGTGAACACCCTTGCACATACATCCTTAACTTTTATGCTCTAGGATAGAGAAATTGCCTGCAGAATGTTGTGTGATTATTGTAATATTCTTACTGTATAAAAATGTCCTTTCTCAAATCTTTGATACTACCTCATTTTAATTTTTGTCATTCTCATGGGTAAAGAAATGATATCACTTCACTTTGCATTTCCTTGATCCCTAGGAGATAGGAGATTTTTTTTCCCGTTACTCAATTACATGACTCAAGGTTTTTCATACGTTTATTAGTCATTTATATTCCCTCTATGACTTGTTTTTTCCTGTTTCTTTAAAAAAAAATCCAGTCCATCTTGATTTGGTATAACTTTGTATAATATGGATATTTTTTATTATATATGTTGTAGATATTATCTTCGAATCTGACCTATGCCTTTTAACTTTTGTTTATGGCGTTTTATTTTGCCATGTAAATCTTGACATGTCTAATCTTCATAGTCTTTTTCTTGAAGGCTTTGCAGTATTATGAAATACTTTCCCACCCAGTATTTTTTGAGATGGAGTCTGGCTATGTTGCCCAGGCTGGAGTGCAGTGGCACAATCTGGGCTCACAGCAACCTACTTCCTGGGTTCAAGCGATTCTTCTGCCTTAGCCTCCCAAGTAGCTGGGACTACAGAGGTGCACCACCACTCTCAGCTAATTTTTGTATTTTTAGTAGAGACCAGGTTTCACCATATTGGCGAGGTCTCAACTCCTCATCTTGTGATCCGCCCACCTTGGCGTCCCAAAGTGCTGGGATTACAGGCGTGAGCCATCGTGCCCGGCAAGAATATTTTCTTACAGGTACTTGAATGGTTTTGCTCTTTATATTTAGTTATTTAATCCACCTGTAATTCATTTTTATGTCTAATATAAGTTAGAACTCTCGTATATGTCCAACAGATTTGGCTAGTATTCTGACCCATTCAGAGGTTATTTATTATTTAAAATAAAATGGACAGGTTTTACTGGTTTTGATTTCTGTTGAAAATACAGAGTACTGAAGAGCCAGGCTCAGTGGCTCACGCCTGTAATCGCAGTACTTTGAGAGGCTGAAGCATGGGAATCACTTGAGGCCAGGAGTTGAGACCAGCCTGGCCAACATGGAGAAACCCTGTCTCTACCAAAAATAAAAAAATGATCCGGGCGTGGTGGCGCATGCCTGTAATCCCAGCTACTTGGAGGCTCAGTCACAAGAATCACTAGAACCTGGTAGGCGGAGGTTGCAATTAGCCAAGATTATACCACTGCACCCCAGCCTGGGTGATAGAGAGTGACTGTGTCACAGAAGAAAAAAATGTTGGGTACTGAAGAAATTGAAACATTAAGAATACCTTATAAGTAAATTAAACACTTTGGCTCTTTTGAGGAAAAAAAGATTGGCCCTTATATTTTAAAGTTTGGTTTTGACAGAAAAAAAAATCCTAGATTAGTTAATAGAAACTTTATTAGATGGATTAAATCGTGATGTATGGAGATAAAGTTCTGAAAGAAGAGTAGAAAGCTTTTAAAAAATAGTGTTGTCAGCCTAGGCAACATGGTGAAACCCTGTCTCTACAAAAAATAAAAATATTAGTGAGGTGTGGTGGTACATTCATGTGGTCCCAGCTACTTGGGAGGCTGAGGTTGAGGTGGAAGGATCACTTGAGCCTACTAGGCAGAAGTTGCAGTGAGTCGAGATTGCACCATTGCACTACAGCCTGGGTGACAGAGTAAGACCCTTTATCATAAAAAGTACATAAACAAATAAATACACACATACAGATAGTGTTCTACTGTAACTCTTAGATTGAATAAAACTGTTAACTTTTGAGATTAATTTTATTACAATTAAGTTTCTATACAAATAGGTACTCAAAACAGCTCAATTTTCTAAATCACAGCACAGCAATTTATTTTTTTTCCTTACATATACAGAAGAAAATTCAGATGAATTATCTGGTGAACGACAAAGAAAACGCCACAAATCTGACAGTATTTCCCTTTCCTTTGATGAAAGCCTGGCTCTGTGTGTAATAAGGGAGATATGTTGTGAAAGAAGCAGTAGCAGTGAATCTACAGGGACGCCATCGAATCCGGTAATGTTCTCATTTTTGAAGACTGTAACTGTTACAGTCTAGTCCTGGCAGTCCTAATAAGCATATCAATAGAATGTACATGGGTCTTATGAGATTGATGCAAAACACCGTGCTCAATTTTGCTTTAAAATAAAACTACTATATTGATCTCTACTTCAACCCCAGGTATTGTGAGAAATGTGGAAAATAGTGGAGTAACATTGTTATTGGTAAAATAGTAGTAGTATTAGTCATTATCAGTGTCACTCTGTATTAGAGAATGTTTGTGGATGACTCTACCACTAGTACATTTAAATAAATTGGAGAGTTTGAGAAATTTGAAGTTGTACTTTTTAAAAAATAAAGGAACAAAACCAAAAATTTAGTTCAGTTAAATACTTTAGCATTTTAAGGCAAATTTGTCTTGACTGTTTAGAGTAAAAATATCTTTAATTAGAGCCATCAGCATAGTCTGAGCTTAACATTTGCCAAATAGGTCTAGACATCAGGTAAATTCTGTTTACCAACACTGTGAAATACAGGTTTATTATTGCATGGGTGACAGGAGAGTATTGGTACTTTCTGATGACTAGTACAGAATTCTAGAATCTTAGTGAGCAGAATTTCTTAAGAGATATCACTGAAGCCGGGTGCGGTGGCTCACGCCTGTAATCCCAGTACTTTGGGAGGCCGAGGTGAGTGGATCACAAGGTCGAGATCGAGACCATCCTGGTCAACATAGTGAAACCCCGTCTCTACTAAAAATACAAAAAATTAGCTGGGCATAGTGGCGCGTTCCTGTAATCCCAGCTACTCAGGAGGCTGAGGCAGGAGAATCGCCTGAACCCAGGACGCAGAGGTTGCGGTGAGCTGAGATCGCGCCATTGCACTCCAGCCTGGGTAACAAGAGCGAAACTCCGTCACAAAAAAAAGAAAAAAAAAGAAAAAAGAGATGTCACTGAAAGAAGTTCGGTAAAGAATTTTTTTGTTAACAAGAATGCTTGACAAATGGAATATTTTCTTTTGTATGTCTTTAAACAAGCTTGTCCAACCCACGCCCTGTGGGGCATATGGCAGGATGGCTTTGAATGTGGCCCAACACAAATTTATAAACTTTCTTAAAATATTATAAGATTTCTTTTTTTACAATTTTTTTTTCCCTCATTCATGAGCTATTGTTAGTGTTAGTGTATTTTACGTGTGGTCCAAGGCGATTCTTCTTCCAAGATTGGATACCTTTTGGAAGCCAAAAGATTGGATACCTTTCTTGGTAATGTGGCAGTGTCTCATGGTCATTATTCTGGATATTGGTAATCATTGTGGAGGTCTCTAGAAGATGTAGGAGATGGAATCAATTGTCATAGTAATCCTAGTCTTTTACCTTGTACCTATTCTTGTTACTTCTTGTATATCTTTCTATTTTTCTCTTCCAAAGGAGTGACTGTATGAAGCATACCTGCCCTCTATAATAGAGTTAGTACTGTATTTAACGGAGCTGTTACTCATGTGGACCGCTAGATGGCAGGATGAGCCCCTGCTCCGTCTGACAGCAGGTTCTTCATTTGTAAATATTTCAGTTTATACCAGATTCCATAAAGTTGAGGTGACACTGGAGAGACAGCGGTAGTCAAAGTAGATATGGTTCTTGCCTTCAGGAGGAGATAGATCATTAATGATAAAAATGAAAACATTTAATAAATCCAGTGAAGAAAACAGGTTCTTGAGAGCAAGTATGTGTGATCTGAAAATTAGATCCAATTAAAACTTGATGAGTACACAAACTACAAGTTTGGTTAAAAAGATAATTACTATATCCTGTCTATCTATTTATTTATTGAGATTGAGTCTCACTCAATTGCCGTGGCTGGAGTGCAGTGGTGCAATCTTGGCTCACTGCAACTTCTGCCTCCTGGGTTCAAGGGATTTTCGTGTCTCAGCCTCCCGAGTAGCTGGGATTACAGGTGCCCACTGCCATGCCCTGCTAATTTTTTTATTTTTAGTAGAGATGAGGTTTCACTATGTTGGCCAGGCTGGTCTTGAACTCCTGACCTCAAGTGATCCGCCCGACTTGGCTATCCAAAGTGTTGGGATTACAGACTTGAGTCACTGAGCCCAGCACCCTATTCAATGTATAGTCTTTTTTTTTTCTTTATTTTTTTTTCTTTTTTGTTTGTTTTTATTTTATTTTTTAAATGTATAGTCTTTGTTAAAGTTACATCAGAATTCTAGCTGAATGATATTTGGAGTCTTTGTTCTTGCTTTGTACCTGGACACTGCCTTGTGAATGATACAGCTTTGATAAGTGGAAGAGCACCAGGTTTTCTGTTTTGAGTTGAATTAGATAAAACATCATGGACACACGTGGAGTGGTTTTAAGGAGCAGAGAGTTTAATAGGCAAGAAGGAGAAGGCAGAAGGCAGAAGGAAGAAGCTCCCCCTTACAGAGATGAAAGAGGAGACCTCAGATTCTAAGGATACCAGCCAGTTTTCTGTGGTGGCTGAAGGAGGCGGTGTCTGATTTGCATAGGGCTCAGGGGATTGGTTTAACCAGGCATGATATATATGTAGCCCTCGAGAAAACTGGCCCTCCCACCCCAGTCCTTTAAGATGCAAATACAGGGCACCAGTGCTGTTTTACGTTCATAGGGAAATAGGGTAGGGGGGCATGTTGTTAGGCACAGATCCTGGCAAGGGCAAGAGGCCAGGGCCTTTAGGCTAGACAAGGTACATTTTTGGAGCTGCGGAAAAATCTTAAGGACCCCTTTTCCTTTATTTCTTAATAAATAAAGGAAACCACATTATCAGAGTTGAGTAGAACAGTTTCTTTTTTTGTTTTTGTTAGCCCTGTCCTGAATTCTCTTTAAAAATCCTGTCTTAAAAATCTCTCGTTTTCCTGGCTAAGTCCCTAGTTGTGAAAGCTTTTAGTAGGGCCAGTTTTTTTTTTTTCCATAATTATAATTTCCCTCATTTGAGAATGTGGTAGTCATCACTGGGGGGTGTTCACCAGTTTGTGAAAGTACATTCCTCTCCCATCTTTTCTTTCTTTGGGGTTTAAGAAATTGTGGGAAACTAAGACTGTTCTAGACTGTACACCACGCAATTTATATTATGATCTTTTGTTATAGCTAAGACTGGGGGTTTTTTAATAACTTGCTTCTACAACTGTCATAATTGAAATTGAAGCAATTCTAGGTATTTCTGACTACAAAAATCTTAAGATCTGGCTGAGCATGGTGGCTTATGCCTGTAATCCCAGCACTTTGGGATGCCAAGGCGGGTGGATCACGAGGTCAAGAGATCGAGACCATTCTGGCCAACCTGGTGAAACCCCGTCTCTACTAAAAAAAAAAATACAAAAATTAGCTGGGCGTGGTGGTGTGCGCCTGTAGTCCCAGCTACTCGGGAGGCTGAGGCAGGTGAACTGCTTGAACCAGGGAGGCGGAGGTTGCAGTGAGCCAAGATCGTGCCACTGCACTCCAGCCTGGCACCTGGCGACAAAGCAAGACTCTGTCTCAAAAAAAAAAAAAAGAAGAAACAAAAATCTAAGATCTTTTCAGAGCAAGCCTATCTGATGCTTTTCTTTTTTTTTTTTTTTTTTTGATTTTTATTTTTGAGACAGTCTTTCACTCTTGTTGCCCAGGCTGGAGTGCAGCGGCATGTTCATGCAACCTCAACCTCCTGGGTTCAAGCAATCCTTCCTCCTCAGCCTTGAGAGCTGGGACTACAGGTGTATACCACCACACCTGGCTAGGTTTTTTTTTTTACTTTATTTTTTTTTAGTTCCAGAGATGAGGTCTCAGCCTGTTTTCCAGGCTGGTCTGAAATTGCTGGGCTTAAGTTATTCCCCTGTATTGGCTCCCAGAGTGTTGGGAAGACAGGTATGAGCCACCACTCCCAGCCTGATGCTTTTGAAACACATAGTATTTAATAGTTTCTGTGGCATTCTTTTGTAAACATTAGCCAAAACTTTTTAAAACCACTCCCAATTGCATTTTTTATAGTACTGTAGGACAGGAGTTGGCAAACTTTCTGCAAAGAGCCAGATAGTTAATTATTTGGCCTCTGCAGGGCCATGTTTTCTGTCACAGCTACTCAGCCCCACTCTTGTAATGCAGGAGCATCCATAGACAACAAGTAAACACATGGGCATGGCTGTGCTCAAACTTTATTAATACAAATGGATGGGTGATGGGCCACAGGTGCAGACCCCTATCACGGAGTATGTTTTCTGAGACTTAATGTTTCTTGTGATTTACCCACTTATTCTAAAATTAGGGCACTAAGGACTTTAGTTAGTTGAAGTATTTGGTTTGTTGGGTTACTTTGTTAGAGATGTTAATTGTATCCTAACTTGACTTATGATTCTAACCTGATTGTCAGCAGAGCCCTTGTTAGGAATTAGAGCTGAAGCTTGATTAATGTTGTTTTTACTACTCTTTCCTAACATGACTCTACAAAAGTCTTTTGACCTCAGAGGCCATCAATAATATACTTTGTTTCTGTTTTTAGAACTGACATAGATATGGAAGTCATTTAATCTAAACTCCTTTTCTAGATGAAGTAGCTATAGCCTTTAGAAGTTAAATGATCTGGGCTGGATGCAGTGGCTCATGGCTGTAATCCCAGTACTTTGGGAGGCTGAGGTGGCAATCACTGTGGAGGTCAGAAGTTCAAGACTAGCCCAGCCAACATGGTGAAACCCCATCTCCACCAAAAATATAAAAATTAGCCTGGTGTGGTGGTGGATGCCTGTAATCTCAGCTGCTTGGGAGGCTGAGGCAGGAGAATCGCTTGAACCCCGGAGGTGGAGGTTGCAGTGAGACTGGATTGCTCCATTGCATTCCAGCTTGGGCAACAGAGTAAGACTGTCTCAAGAAAACAAAAAAAAAAAAAAGTGAATTGATGTACTTAAGAGTTAAATTAGCTACATAGTGGCATGTGTAGAATAAGTCATATCTTGACTGCCAGACTTTTTCCAGCCGTAGCCTTCTACTTAATGTATGCTCCTACCCTTAGCCACTGACAGCAAATATGGGCCTCAAGGTCTATTAGATTCTTATGCTATTTGTTGAAGTCCTGAAACGAGGAATCAAATGAGCAGCTACAGATTTTTTTTTTTAATTGTCTAAAGACTCTTTAAAGGAAATTTCAAAGTTTATTAGAAAAACATAAGTATCTGTGACTCCAGACTATTTTTTTTTTTTTTTTTTTTTTTGAGACGGAGTTTCACTCTTGTTACCCAGGCTGGAGTGCAATGATGCGTTTGCGATCTCAGCTCACCACAACCTCTGCCTCCTGGGTTTAGGCAATTCTCCTGCCTCAGCCTCCTGAGTAGCTGGGATTACAGGCACACGCCACCATGCCCAGCTAATGTTTTGTATTTTTAGTAGAGATGGGGTTTCACCATGTTGACCAGTATGGTCTCGATCTGTTGACCTCATGATCCACCCATCTTGTCCTCCCAAAGTGCTGGGATTATAGGCGTGAGCCACCGCGCCCGGCCGACTCAGAGACATTTTTCTAAGAAAAAGAAAAAACCATAAGTATCTTGTGTCTTGTTACTTGCATTCTACCGATATGGACATGTAAAGATAAGTAAGACAGGTCTTCTCTCAAAAGTATATATAATTCAGATGAGAAACATGCCTACAAAATTATGTTTTGCATAATTTAGGTGTGAGACTATGTAATTCAGTATTCTACAAGTAGCAAGGTTAATTAAAGGTGGAAGAGGGCCAGGCAAGGTGGCTCACGCCTGTAATCCCAGCACTTTGGGAGGCCGAGGTGGGCAGATCACGAGGTCAAGAGATTGAGACCATCCTCGTCAACATAGTGAAACTCTGTCTTTACTAAAAATACAAAAACTAGCTGGGTGTCATGGCACTTGCCTATAGTCCTAGCTATGCAGGAGGCTGAGGCAGTAGAATTGCCTGAACCTGGGAGGCGGAGGTTGTGGTGAGCCAAGATCGCACCATTGCACTCTAGCCTGGGCAAAAAGAGCAAAACTCCATCTCAAAAAAAAAAAGAGGTGGAAGAGCCTTTTCAGTTATGATATTGACAAAGGCCTAGTCAAGGAAAGATGAATAGGATTTTGAAAGTGTGAAATTATTCTAGTGAGGGGGAAGGTGTGGAAGTTGAAATGCCAAGATTAGTTGAGGAAGCATCTAGATCTGGTGGGATTGTCCATATTTGGTGAGAGAGGAGAGATGTCTAGTTGAAAACAGATGATGTTAATATAGTCACACTGTCTGTACCTTCAGTGCCAAGAGGCTTTGGGTTTTTTCCCTTTATGCAGTGGAGTTTTACACAGGGAAAATAATATAGAAGTAACCTTGAAACTTTAATCTAGTGTCAGTGTGCAGGATGCATCTGAGGAGGAAATAGAGTCATAGGAATGAGTTAGGAGACTTACAGAGGCCAAGAGGTGATGTTTATTAAGTTACATATTTTTTTCTTATTTTAGGATCTGGATGCTGGTGTAAGTGAACATTCAAGTGATTGGTTGGATCAGGATTCAGTTTCAGATCAGTTTAGTGTAGAATTTGAAGTTGAATCTCTCGACTCAGAAGATTATAGCCTTAGTGAAGAAGGACAAGAACTCTCAGATGAAGATGATGAGGTAGTATTTCAACTCCCCCCAATTATGTTGGAAAATTAAATATTTTCTATGCTCATTGACTTTGAGAATGAAATCATAATGTATTCAGATTCCACTTGAAATCTTAGCCTCTTGATTTGTTCACACTAACGTATTAGTTTGTGGACTTGAGGATTTCATAGTTGTTCATAATTTGATTTATATTCTTATGTTGCTGGTAATGTCAAGAAGTCAGTAGGCCTCAATGAACATGCTTATTATAACCATCTCTTCACTTTAAAAAATATTTAATTCAATTATTGTTTTAATATTAGCTTGCCTTTTGTCAAAGTAAAACATACATACAGTTAAAGTCAAATAGTACCCTCAGAGATCTGTTTCCCAGAAGTGGCTGCCTTCAGCATTTCTAGCCATTTTCCTGTTGTTTAATATCTCCATATTATTTATTTATAAAATTAAACCACTGAGCTGAACGTTTTGTTTTATTCATCCTAAACATCCTTTGTATTGACTTTTCCCATTGTGGGTGAGAATTTCTCTCTCCTCCATTTTTTCCCCCTTTATGCTCACTCACTGTATTTGATGTCATCTTAGACTTTCTCATATATTGTAGTACATGCTATTTGTTTAGGACTTACTGCTAGGAAGTCTTCTGGTAGAAGGAAAAAGGGTGATGAATTGATGCTAACGAATTTGTTTTATTAGGTATATCGAGTTACTGTGTATCAGGCAGGGGAGAGTGATACAGATTCATTTGAAGAAGATCCTGAAATTTCCTTAGCTGTAAGTATATATCGACTTTTTTAAGAAATCAAAAAATTACATTAAGGTCTAGATGAGGAAAATATGTCTATCTTACTTTGTGAAATGAGCTGATTTTTATAAAGTTAAAATGTAAAGTCTGAATAAAGCAAAATTTGCTTTTATTTGTTGTGATGAAACTAATAGCTATAATTTTTATTTTTAGGTGGTGGAATTTGAACTTTGTTTTTTTTTGTTTGTTTGTTTTGTTTTTTGAAACAGGGTCTTACTTTGTCTCCCAGGCTGGAGTGTAGTGGTGTAATCTTGATATACTGCAGCTTCCACCTCCCAGGCTCAAGTGATTCTTGTGCCTCATTCTCCAGAGTAGCTGGGATTATAAGTGTGCACCATTACACCCCACTAATTTCTGTATTTTTAGTAGAGACTGGGTTTCACCATGTTGCCTAGGCTGGTCTCATCCTGGCTGAGGCTTGAGAGTGGGCAGATCACTCTGAGAGATCACTTGAGAGCAATCCACCCACCGTGGCCTCCTAAAATGTGTGATTACAGGCATGAGCCACTGCACCCAGCTGAATTTGTACTTTTTGATGTTATTTTGGAAAATTTCAATTATCTTCAGTATACTCATCACCCAATAACACTTACCAACATTTTGCCAATCTTGTCAAATGTAAAGTTTTTTAAAAATTGAAATAGGGTCCTGCTCTGTCATCTAGGCTGGAATGCAGTGATGTGATCACGGCTTAAGGCAGCCTCCACCTTCCAGGCTCAAGTGATCTCCCACCTCAACCTCCCGAGTAGGTGGGAGTATAGGTGCATGCCACCACACCCAGCTGATTTGTATTTTTTTACAGAGATGTCACCATATTGCCCAGGAAGGTTTTGAACTCTTGGGCTCCAGTGATCCGCCTGCTTCAGTCTCCCAAAGTGCCAGAATTACAGGCATAAGCCACCACACCCAGCCAAATGTAAACATTTTTATTATTGATTTTTATTATAGAATGTGGTAGGTTTTGCCATTTTTGTTCTTAATATTGCCTTTATTATAGTTGAATAGGAAATGCATTTTTTTAGTTATCAACAGTTACTAATTATCCAAATGTAAAAAAGATGAAAATGTTTCCAAAATTTTTATTGTAGTAGAAAATAATTTAAATAGTTGAATCATTTGATGTCAAGTTGTGTAAAATATTTTAGACTTTATTTTTTTAATCTAAGACCCACTAAAATTATTTTAGGTATTGATCTTGCAATGTATTAGACTTTTTGATGCCCTTTTACTCCCATATTGCAAGACCTTTTTCATTGGTTTTATGAGCTGTGAAAATCCCTTTCTATAACTTGAAAAAACCAATGTTGAAGAATAAATAGTCTCTATCTTTATTACTCCTCTTGTAGCAGGAGCAGCCGTGGGAAAGGATTTTTTGGACACTGAATGCAGGAGGAAGGAATGTATTACAACTGGGAGCTTTTGCAGCATATTCACTTAACAGCAAAATTTGTTTAACAAAGGGAGGTTCAGCTTTTATATAGGCTTATACTTTAGATGCTACACGTGGAAGAATTTTAAGTTTATAGTGAAAAGATTTTTGTTTACAGTTTTAGGAATTACATATGAAAGGGTTTCAGTTCACAGTTTTAGGAATTACATATGAAAGGGTTTTAGTTCACAATTTCAGGAATTACATATGAAAGGGTTTTAGTTCACAGTTTTAGGAATTACATATGAAAGGGTTCTGGTTCACAGTTTCAGGAATTACATATGAAAGGGTTCCGGTTTACAGTTTTAGGACTTAGATGTGAAAAGGTTTCTGTTTACAGTTTTAGGAATTACATATGAAAGGGTTTTGGTTTGCAGTTTCAGGACTTACATGTGAAAAGGTTTTCACAGTTTTAGGAATTACATATGAAAGGGTTTCAGTTCACAGTTTTAGGAATTACATATGAAAGGGTTTTAGTTCACAGTTTTAGGAATTACATATGAAAGGGTTTCAGTTCACAGTTTCAGGAATTACATATGAAAGGGTTTTAGTTTACAGTTTCAGGACTTACATATGAAAGGGTTTCAGTTCACAGTTTCAGGAATTACATATGAAAGGGTTTTAGTTTACAGTTTCAGGACTTACATATGAAAGGGTTTCAGTTCACAGTTTTAGGAATTACATATGAAAGGGTTTTAGTTCACAGTTTTAGGAATTACATATGAAAGGGTTTCAGTTCACAGTTTCAGGAATTACATATGAAAGGGTTTTAGTTTACAGTTTCAGGACTTACATATGAAAGGGTTTCAGTTCACAGTTTCAGGAATTAGGTATGAAAGGGTTCTGGTTTACAGTTTTAGGACTTACATGTGAAAAGGTTTCTGTTTACAGTTTTAGGAATTACATATGAAAGGGTTTTGGTTTACAGTTTTAGGACTTACATGTGAAAAGGTTTTTGGTTTGATTTTGTTTTAAGCAAAAATAGTGATTAAGTAAAAATCGTGCTTTTTGAAGTTTCTCCAAAGCTTAGCCTGTTGTTTCTAGGAAGAAGATTTAGGAGGTGCCAGCTGTCCTGCTCTCTCTTCTATTGAGATGCGCGATGGATGTGACAGAGGGGGAGGGAATCCTAAATGCCTGGGTCTCCCTCCTCATCCCCCGCCTTGAGACTCTCACTATTTTATAATATTAGTGAGAGGTCTTACTTTTATTTTTACTTTTTAGATTTTCTGAAGAAACCGACCGATAATGTTTTATATAATACACTTGTGATGTCATTTTTTGGCTAACTACAGTAGTGATGAAGCCTTTAATTAATCTGAAGGAACAGGGAGAGTAGACAAGGGAGCATCAAACAAACACTTATTATTATTATAACACTTATAATGTGAGGGTTTTGAATCCTCCTAAGGATGAGAACTAACCTTTAAATAAGGACTTAGGGTTAAAAATCTGTGCTACACTTGTACAGGCACGTGTGCCAGTTTGGTTATGTCTCACACAATATTTTCTACTGCTTGCCCCTGGTCATCTATGTGCAGACAGCAGTTGGTTAGATTGAATTTGTCACAGACTCCTTTTTTCGGCTGCTAGCAAATAATCTAGGGCTAGCTGGTTTTGATAAACTGCATTTTTTATTTGGGTTTTTTATTGGGCTAAGAGGGACAGAGCTTTGCCTGTTTTATTAGTGAGTGTTTTCAAAACAGCCTGCAACCGGATGATCTGGTTGAGTATGTAAATAGGGGTCCGGTCTCCTCATGAGCCATTTTTGGCTCATGTGGCCAGCTTATAATACTTAGTAATTTTTTTGCTCTTGTTACCCAGGCTGGAGTGCAATGGCGTGATCTCGGCTCACCGCAGCCTCCGCCTCCTGAGTTCAGGCAATTCTGTCTCAGCCTCCTGAGTAGCTGGGATTACAGGCACGCGCTACCGTGCCCAGCTAATTTTTTGTATTTTTAGTAGAGACGGGGTTTCACCATGTTGACCAGGATGGTCTCGATCTCTTGACCTCGTGATCCACCCGCCTCGGCCTCCCAAAGTGCTGGGATTACAGGCGTGAGCCACTGCACCCGGCCCAATACTTAGTAATTTTTTTTGGTGGCTACTTATTATTTGTTTAATTCCTTATTTTTAGTTATTTTTTCTCCTTAGCGGAGTAGACTGGATACCTTAATAGCTTACCGGTTTTAACAGATAACAGGAAGAAAGAGGGCTTAATGACGCCTATGACACAGCTACCTGTCTACCTGTTAGGCAGTTGTATGTATGCATACCCTACGTCTACAAATTTAGTATAACCCGGGTGGGGCTGTTTAATTTTTTCGGTACTTAGGATGATTTTAAGCATTCTGCAATTTTGGAAATTTTAGGAGGGGGTTCTTCTTTGTATAATTTGAGCTCTACCAGGTTACTGGGCCTATGGTTTTATTATACAATTGCTGCCTTAAGCAGCTAAGCTTTCTTACTGGAATAGTGAAGCTTGCTCCCTCTCTGGCTAAACAGTATTGTTTAATAATTGAGACTTTTAAAACGTAGAAATTGTTGGTTCTAACTCCTTGAACAGAGGTCAGATCTGGGACAGGGTCAGAAGGTAATAACTTACGGGCTTCCCATGGCCACCTGTTACCTATGATCATTCTTTTACATACATAGCAAGAAGTGACGTTGAGGGAATGGGTTACATTTTTAACCAGTTGGAGGAACAAGTTTTTCGTCTTTCTTGGAAGCTCTGGTATTGGTTTATTTAATATATTATAAAAGTGTTGGTACACTGGCTGGGCTGAGAGTTTTTGGACTTTTTCTTGAATTTGGATACTAACTTCAGGGTCACGTCTCTTTCTATTAATTTCTAGCACTACACTTTCCCCTTTTTTAAATTTGGGGTCTTGGGGGTTTGTGATGATTAATTTTACTGGGTTACAATGTCTTGCGATACAGGGGACATTACGTTCTGAAGTGGTGTCTCTCTTTTTTACAAGGCGAACAGGATTAGTTTTATTATTATTTTTAAGTGGCTTAGGTGACACAGGACTAATAGGTGCAGTTATAGCACTAGCAGGTTTTTTTGGCAGAGATATTTATGCTCTGTTGCATACCTTTTTTCTACCCGAGGGAACTACAGCCCCTGGCACTGGAAGGATAGGTATTGATGGCTGCACAGGCATTAAACTTTTAGATTGACTTGTTTTGGGCTTCTTTTTTCTTCTGTCCTGGCTATTAATTTAGTAGGGCTATTTTATCGCCTTGTTAGGAATCTAATTTGAAAAGTTGTATGTATAGGGGGCTCTGATGGGTTGTAACATACATTAGGCTGTTTATTCCCTGGTCTACATATTTTATACTGAGTTCTATTGTATAAACACGTTCTTTTTTGTGTCCCTGTGCACTTATAATAACTGTAAAACAAAAGAATGGCAGTGACTTTTTTTTTTTTTGAGATGGAGTTTCGCTCTTGTTACCCAGGCTGGAGTGCAATGGTGCGATCTCGGCTCACCGCAACTTCCGCCTCCTGAGTTCAGCCAATTCTCCTGCCTCGGCCTCCTG